TCTGCCTCTCTCTCTCTCCTCTCTGTGTTTCTCATGAATAAATAAATAAATAAATCTTTTATTTTTTTGGGATCCCTGGGTGGCGCAGCGGTTTGGCGCCTGCCTTTGGCCCAGGGCATGATCCTGGAGGCCCGGGATTGAGTCCCACGTCGGGCTCCCGGTGCGTGGAGCCTGCTTCTCCCTCTGCCTGTGTCTCTGCCTCTCTCTCTCATAAATAAAAAATTTTAAAAAAATCTTTTTTTTTTAAAGATTTAGAGATCAAATGTATCTAATTGTTGGTACACAAATTGCCACAACAATGATAATTTCTATTCTGTGCTCTATGAATGTGCTATGACATTCAAACAACTTTTTAAATAAATTATCAGCTAAATCTGATATATTAATGATCTGAATCATTTAAAAAAATTTAAAGGTTCTTTTATGATATCATTTTTCTCCATAAGAATTCTTTTTTTTTTTTTTTATTTATGATAGGCACACAGTGAGAGAGAGAGAGAGAGGCAGAGACACAGGCAGAGGGAGAAGCAGGCTCCATGCATCGGGAGCCCGACGTGGGATTCGATCCCGGGTCTCCAGGATCGCGCCCTGGGCCAAAGGCAGGCGCCAAACCGCTGCGCCACCCAGGGATCCCCTCCATAAGAATTCTTGTTTTTAAAGTTTATGTATGATGATGCCTGGGTGGCTCAGTGGTTGAGCGCCTGCCTTGGGCCCAGGGTGTGATCCTGATGTCCTAGGATTGAGTCCCACATCAGGCTCCCTGCATGGAGCCTGCTCCTCTCTCTGGCTATGTCTCTGCCTCTCTCTGTGTGTCTTTCATGAATAAATAAAATCTTTAAAAAGTAAAAGTTAATAAAAATAAAGTTTATGTATGTATGTATGTAATCTCTATAACCCAACATAGGGCTCAGACTCACAACCCTGAGATCCAGAGTCACATGCTCTTCTGATTGAGCCAGCCAGGCACTCCAAGAGTTATTGTTCAAAATAATAATAATCCCAGATTATGGAAAATTTTGAAAATCATTCTTCTTGATTTTTCTTTTCTTTTTTTTTTAAGATTTTATTTATTTATTCATAGAGATGCAGAGAGAGAGAGAGAGAGAGAGAGAGGCAGAGACACAGGCAGAGGGAGAAGCAGGGTCCATGCAGAGAGCCTGACGTGGGACTCAATCCAGGGTCTCCAGGATCACGCCCTGGGCTGCAGGCAGTGCCAAACCGCTGTGCCACCGGGGCTGCCCTTGATTTTTATTTCTTATAAATGCAACACAGTACAACCACGCTATTTCAAATATAATTCATTCTGTTATAAACACATCTAGGTCTTCATTAAAAAGGGAGGGAAATGTATCATTAACATAACTGAAGAGCACTTAAACACTGGACACTACCCTAACCCCCTTTCTGGAGAATAACGAAAAGGAGTAAATACATCAAATGAAAAACAGCAAAAATTTTCCAGCAATGACCTATTAGAGCACTGCCATTAATTATGAACAGAGTAGTTCTGTTCATAATTTCTGGAAGTGAGAAGAAAATGTTGGTAAACCAAAAAAGTGCTTTTATCTTTTAAGCATAATATTCTATAAATTACAAGAGATTTACTAAGCAAAAAGTGAAAGATTAACTAATATCATTAATGAAACCTAGCAGAATGTTTCATCTAAAAACAGCAACAAAATCCCTGAAGGCTTTCTAATTAGCTGGAGTGCAAGCTCAAATGTAAGATTTAAGAAAAATTTCAGGAATCATTTCTCAATGCCCTTTTATGTTCGAAGAAGTTTTTCTATCTACTATGTTCTTCCACCAACCTAACACTTCCTGATAATCCTTTGTATTTATAATCCCATTTGACCATGATTGCTCACTTCTACTACCAGGTTGATGGATTTTTAAATTACATACTGTGCTACTTCCCCTTGTAATTCTTCCCATAACCAAAATCTTGTTAGTTGTCTCAATCTAGCAAATCTCATTATAACTTTGAAGGATTTTAAGAACTTGTGCTTAATGTAAAAATCATAGTGCTTATTATATTTGGTATTTACATCAAGACTCCTGAGATTTGGGCAGCCCCGGTGGCGCAGCAGTTTAGCACCGCCTGTAGCCGACGGCATGATCCTGGAGACCTGGAATCGAGTCCCATGTCAGGCTCCCTGCATGGAGCCTGCTTCTCCCTCTGCCTGTGTGTCTGCCTCTCTCTCTCTCGCTCTGTATCTCTTGTGAGTAAATAAAATAAAATCTTAAAAAAAAAAAAGACTCCTGAGATTTTAAAAAAAAAAGACTCCTGAGTTTATACCCAATCCACTTTTTACATTTTTAGCTAGCAATCACCTTCACTATACATTCAATGTCAGATGTTTTTCACAGTATCTGGTTTTGAATGGTCCCCTCCATAGCCTCAAAATCAAGTTTTTTGAGTAATTGGAAATTAATCTTAAGAAGGGAGGGATATCATAATTTGAGGTCTTAGAGTCCCTAGTCGAAAAAGGAAACAGAAAAATACAGACAAGGTTACAAAGTTGCCTACAAAGTTGTTTTGAAAATTCATCTTCAGTAGACTTTCTTGCTGGCTGTGTCAGGTATCAGTAAATGCTTAATAGTGATGACAATGATATCTCAATGACATAGCCTCTTGCCCCTAAATGTTCCAAATGGATGCTGGTTAGAGGAGTGAAATCTTTAAGTCCTCTACAAAGATACAAAGTGGTGGCCTAGAGGACACATGCAGGAAACACAGGGGCAAAAGCAAGATAGCACACTGAGCACTCAGAAAATGTAAACAGGAATAGAGAAAGAGGTACAGTTAGTTGTTATGGAATACAGTCCCCCCCCCCCCCCCAATGACATGAGTTACTCTTGAACTTCAGATTTTTTCCATGTTTGACTAACCAAGACTTTGGCAAAACGCTGGGGGTGAGGGATAGGGTGAGAGGGGACACCTAGTAATAGTCCCTGGATATTTATTTATATATAACTGGAACATTATTAGAGCTGATAACATGCTCCACATGTATTCAGAGAGCTACTTAAAATATTTAATAATTGGGGTGTCATAGTCTTTCAGAAAGGACACTAGTCAGTAAGCCACATGTACTGCCAGCCCTGGATGGAGGAGATGACTCACATGATTTGAAGAAGAGAAAAAAAACTCTGTACCTTCCTATCAAAGATTCTTGTTTGCTTGCCATTTTTCACTTGAAATGCCTGGGTGGAAATAAGGGGCAGAAGCAGTGTTCATGCAGACTAAGGCCCCATGAGGAGGGAGCAAACCTTAAAATGCTCCACCAGTATCAATCTAAACACAGTAAGGCCATTGTCCTGAGCTATACACCAAAAGCCTGGAAACTCAATAAAGGCACATACTGAACATAACTTCTGAGAGACAGACCACGAAACCATTTGTGGGTGGCAAGTATTTAACTTTCAAACTGTGTATCAGGTATAGAGGAGTATAAACAAATTTTGAGTATTTACTCTCAGGAAAAAGATAAAGGCAAAGCTGCTGAGGCAGAGCTACTGATTCTTATTTTTAAAAAGTAGTTTTTTATTCATTGAAAGGACTTAACTTTCTGCTAGATTCTCCAATTTGGGATTTGGAAAACACTAGCTGTCCTGTCTGGGTGGGGTCTACTGCCTAGTAATGATTTTAAGAATGCCTGGTTCAGTAAGAAAAACCCTTCCCTATTGTATCTAGGCAAATAAAGTTCCCAAACCTAACAAATTAAGTCAAGAAGAAATTATTCCAAATTTCCCACAACAACCAGGACAGAGATGCAATCAAGTCCAGATTCCTCATGCTGGTACCTGGCACTGTACCAAAAGGAAGCAAAGTCACCTTTACAAATTAAGAACAGTAGTAAAATGTGACAACGGTATTCTGAGGCTGCAAGATGGTGCAAGATGAAAGCAGTTCTGAACTGTTAGACAGTAAAATTTGGCTTGAGGACAACATAATGTAAATTTACCAAATGTCTGAACTATGTATCTTCTAAGCAAATTTATGCACCAAACTAAGGAGTATAAATGGGAATAGAAGTGAACCTGTATTCTCACAGCTGTTAATTGTAGAGCTGTAGCAGAGATAAAATAGGGCAGTCAGTAAGTAGGGACTCTATAACCCAGAGGGACTCTGGCTGAGTTCAAACACTTGGCCTTGCCCTTTAGTAGCTATATGTCCTTGGACACACTATTTCTCTTGAGTTTCAGCTGATTTGCTTTGAGTATATTTAGGCCCTGATTAGTTGATGCAATATGCAATTGCCTGTGCCAAAATTGTCCAAATTCTAGACCTACAGTTCCATCTCTCATATCTCACTTTATCTATTGCCAATAGTAAAGGGAGGAAATGGGACTCTTTTGGGTACCCTTTATCATTTCTTAAAAGTTGAATATATGCTGACTCAAATGTCAAGTAAAATATCCAAAAAGCTTTCAAGGAAAAGTTTTCTTTGCACATTATTTTGGGTCCTTGGTTTTTAGCCATTAGGAAAGATTAGAGTAGGAGGAACTTCTAGGGACCTTAGAGCTTTGACATACGAAGCAAGAGCTTTGACCTGATAAAAACCAAGTGATATGTTACAATGAGATGTGACAACAGATTACACTTAATGACTTAAGATTTAAAAATCTCCTTATGAAGGTTTCCTTGTAGAAGAGAAATTAAGCAGGTAGCAAGAATACTCTAAAAAGAACTGTGCTGCAGATTTTCACCTGTTCACAGTGCATTTGCTAAGGGTTCCTGAATTTGGTCAAGATTCTACATTGTGCTTCTAGCAATAGGGTAAGAATGGCTAGTGTGAACAAATGAAGCATGTTTTCTTGCATTCATGCAGCCTCCTAGGATGTATAAAACTTGCTGTTAAAAGATAATTTTAATAATTATTATGCCAACAGTATTGGTACACTTAGGAGGAGACAGATGACAGTGACCTAGCTTTATTTTTATAGAAACAATGTACTTTAACATATCCTTTTCAATACAAGGCTGCTTCACTTACCACTTCTGTTGATGTTTCTGCATGTTCAGAAGTAACATGTTCTTGAAGAGATGTCTCCGTATAGCCCATTTTTCCACAATAGGGACAAGTAAAAGACTGTGGCTGCTCTACAGAGAAAGCTTCTCCACCATAGTACAAATCTGAAAAAAAAATAATTTTTTTAAATATATAAAAATGTAAAGATGGTACAATAATGTAAAATAAAAGTGTGCCTGAAATCTCTAACAACCTCACTCTGTCAAGGAGTGCTTAGGTACCTCTGTTTTCATGTGCAACATCCTTACTCTCCTTTGGACTCTGTGACACCCCTCCAAATGTCTTTTTCACCCATATTGCTATTATTGCCTTAAGAGAAAAACAAAGCAAATAACTTTTTCTCTCTCCATTTAATTTTTTTTTTTTAAGAAAATGGAAGCCTGCTTTTATTGATGCACACATTGACGGACTTGGGATTGGAAGGGGCGGTGACGTTAACATGACACTGGTGGTTAACGCAACGGAAACATGAGGGCAGGAGATGGCTTTGCAGGGATATGATGCCTTCATAAGTTAGGGAAACGGACTGCTAGCTGGCTGCTCTTTCATTTCATGTTCTTCACAAACTCCTCTCCCTTTTTGATGGAGGCCTTCAGCTCGGGGATGGCTTCTGCTATCATCTTCTCTTCAAAAGGGGAGATCTTGCCAATGCCTAGATTCTTCTCGATGCCCTTTTTCCCCAGCATAATGGTGTGGAGAAATAGGCACAGTCTGCTTCCTGGGATTTAACAAAGGAACATTCGACAACTCCTTCCTTCCCATTCATTGCATCCACAAGGGAGAAGACAAACCAAGCTCCAGCGTATGCCATGGACAGGGTGGCAGAGCCTGCTCCAGCTTTGGCCTTCACCACCTCCGTGCCGGCCTCCTGAATCCGTCCAGTGACGGCTGTCAGCTGGTCCTGGGGAAGGTCCACCTTTGGAGTGCACTGAGAGATCAGGGGGATGATGGTCTTCCCGGCATGACCGCCAATGACAGGAACATTGACTCGCGCGGGATCCAAACCCTTTAGTTCTGCAATGAAAGTGTTGGCCCTGACAATGTCCAGGGTCGTCACCCCGAAGATTTTATTGGGGTCGTAAGCTCCGTGTTTCTTGAAAACCTCCGTTGCAATTGGGATGGTAGAGTTGACCAGATTTGAAATGACGCAGATCATGGCCTCGGGCAATGCTGGGCGCAGGCAGCAGTCAGGGTGGCCACAATTGAGGCATTGGTGTTGAAACGGTCATCCTGTGTCATGCCTGGTTTTCTTGGGACTCCGGCTGGAATAACCACCACATCGCAGCCTTTGAGGCAATCCGGCAGCTGCTCGGGTCCGAGGTGGCCTTTCACGGTTGCTCTGGTCTCGATGTGGATGTGGCTCAGATCTGCGGCCACTCCGGGTGTATGAGCAATATCGTGGAGGGTCAGGCGGCTCACTAAGGGGCTGTTCTTGAGAAGCAGCGCAAGGGGCTGCCCAATTCCTCCGGAAGCCCCAAGCACAGCTACTTTAGCATTGTGCTGGGCCGAGGTGCTGAAGCTGTAGCAGAGAGCGGCGCCCGCAGGGCGGGCGAGGGCAGAGAGCATGGTTGGTTGGAGCGGGCAGGGAGCCCGAAGAGCAGGCGCAGGAGCCGGCGGCTGGCAGGTGACACCAACTCTCTCCATTTAATTTTGAATGTTTTTTTTGGGAGATAAGATTTTTAAGTAATCTCTATACCCAATGTGGGGCTCAAACTCACAACCCCAAGATCAAGAGCTGCATGCTCTTCTGACTGAGCTAGCCAGGCATCCCCCTTCATTTAATTTCGAAACATCTCTCATTTCACATCGACTTCTAATTTTACTGTAATTTACTTTTTCTGTATCTCTGTATGTGTAGGAATGCCAATGTCAACACAAAGAATTAACAGGTTAAAGGGTGCCTCAAAGCTCAGTCGGTGGAATGTGTGACTCTTGATCTCAGAATGTTGAGTTCAAGCCCTACATTGGGTGTATAGATTACTTTAAAAGAAAATTAACAGGGATCCCTGGGTGGCGCAGTGGTTTGGCGCCTGCCTTTGGCCCAGGGCGCGATCCTGGAGGCCCAGGATCGAATCCCACGTCGGGCTCCTGGTGCATGGAGCCTGCTTCTCCCTCTGCCTGTGTCTCTGCCTCTCTCTCTCTCTCTGTGACTATCATAAATTAAAAAAAAAAAAAAAAAAAAAAAAAAAAGGTGGTCTTAGTCCACCTTTTAAAAAAAAAAAAAAAAAGAAAATTAACAAAAAAATAAAGAATCAGTATGGTATATGATAATACAAAAAAGACAAGTGCTCAGAGTAGGCAACTATGTTCAATATGCTAAATCCCCAGATACATTTATTTGTCAAAAGCACACACCAGGGGATCCCTGGGTGGCTCAGCAGTTTGGCGCCTGCCTTTGGCCCAGGGCGTGATCCTGGAAACCCAGGATGGAGTCCCATATCGGGCTCCCTGCATGGAGCCTACTTCTCCCTGTGCCTGTGTCTTTGCCTCTCTCTCTCTCTCTCTGTCTCTCATGAATAAATAAATAAATAAAATATTTTAAATACACACACACACACACACACACACACACACACACACACACCATTCTTAGGGCAGGAAAGATCCTAAGCATTCAGTTCTTATAAAATACTAACCTGAATGGAGTACTACAATATATTCTTTTCAAATTGGTTACTGAAGAACTGACCAATTAGTGATACTCTGTGCATAATTTGTTTGCATCATTAGTACATCTCAAGTTCTCTTTTTCTCCATTAGTAGCACAAAAGGAAATGCAATTGAAAATATATTTAGTATGTCATCTCATTATAAAGAATTAAATATTTAATATGAAACGTTTATTTTATTTTTTTTTTAAAGATTTTATTTATTTATTCATGAGAGACACCGAGAGAGAGAGAGAGAGGCAGAGACACAGGCAGAGAAAGAAGCAGGTTCCATGCAGGGAGCCCGATGTGGGACTCGATCCCGGGACTCCAGGATCATGCCCTGGGCCAAAGGCAGGGGCTAAACCACTGAGCCACCCAGGGATCCCTGAAACAAATGTTTAATAGGATATGATCATTTTTGTGAGGAGAGAAAATGAAAGAGTATTCACTACGCGAGAGATTTGTTCACATTCATTTTTAGGAAGATTTACACTATCTTAAAAATTATTTACCCACTTATATGCATAAGACTCCCCAGGTAGATCTGGGGTAGGTGGGGATAAATATATATAAAAATGAACAGAACTTGTTCACCTAATGAAGTACATGTACAAAAAACCCATAGTTAACATCATACTTATTGGTGAAAGACTGGATGCTTTCCCCTCAAGGGGCACCTGGGTGGGTCAGTGGTTGAGTGTTTGCTTTCAGCTCAGGTTGTGATCCCAGGATCCTGGGATTGAGTCCCACATCAGGCTCTCTGCAGGGAGCCTGATTCTCCCTCTGTCTATGTCTCTGCATCTCTCTCTGTGGCTCTCATGAATAAATAAATAAAATCTTAAAAAAAAAAAAAAGTCCACTCTAGCTATTTCTGTTTTTAAAAATTATTTGAGAGAGAGAGAGTGCACAGGAAGAGGGGCAGAGGGAAAGGGAGAGAGAATCTCAAGTAGACTCCCTGTGAGCCTGATGTGGGGTGGGATTCCAGCACCCTGAGACCATGACCTGAGCCAAAACCAAGAGTCAGGCACCCCAACTCTCTCCATTTCTATTATTTTCCTGGAGGATCTAGTAATTAGGCAAGAAAATGAAATGAAAAGCAACTAGATGGAAAGGAAGAAGTAAAACTACCTTTATTAGTAGATGACATGATCTTATATGTAGAAAATCCTAGGGATGCCAGAGTGGTACAGCCAGTGCAGCATCTGACTCTTGGTTTTGGCTCAGGTCATGCATGATCTCATGGGTCATGGGACTGAGCCCCACAGTGGAGTCTGCACTCAGCGGGGAGTCTGCTTAAAGGCTCTCTCCCTCTGCCCCTCCTGTTCTCTCTCTCTCTTAAAATAAATCTTAAAAAAAATCCTTAAAAACCTATTAGAATAAGCAACAAAAACATTAAAAGATATAAGATCTATATATAAAAATCCATTGTTCTTCCAAATATTTGCAATGAGCAATCCAAAAGTAAAATTTTAAAAATCCATTTACAATTGTAAAAAGAATAAAATACAAAGGAACATATTTAATGAATAAAGTGTAAAACTTATCCTCTGATAACTACAAAACTTTGTTGAAAATATCGAAGATGACCTAAATAAACAGAAGAAAATCTCATGTTTATGGATTGGCATATTCAATACCATTGCTCTCCAAGGTATTCTACAGATTCAAAACAATCCCCATCCCCATCAAAGTTCCAGTTGGCTTCTCTGCAGAAATTTGACGAGTTGATCCTAAAATTCTTTCACAGAAACTAAAGGGATCTAAAATACCCAAAATAATCTTGAAAAAAAAACAAAACAAAGCCAAAGCTGGAAGACTTATGCTTGTCAATTTCTAAGCTTACTATAAGCTTATAGTAATTAAGATAGTGTGGTACTGGCATAAAGATAGATAAATATAGGGATCCCTGGGTGGCGCAGCGGTTTGGCGCCTGCCTTTGGCCCAGGGCATGATCCTGGAGACCCGGGATCGAATCCCACGTCGGGGCTCCCGGTGCATGGAGCCTGCTTCTCCCTCTGCCTGTGTCTCTGCCTCTCTCTCTCTCTCCGTGACTATCATAAATAAATAAAAAAATTAAAAAAAAAAAAAAGATAGATAATATAGATCAATGAAAGAGACTGAGAGTCTAGGAAAAGACATTTATGGTCAACCAACTTTTCCTTTTTAATAGCTTTATTGAGATATCTTAGACATATAAAAATACAAATTGATGTTTTGATACATGTATACACTGTGAAAAGATTACCACAATCAAAGTAATATATCTACCACCTCTACATAGTTACTCTGTGTGTGTGTTGAAAAGGTTTAAGATCCATCCTCTCCAAAAATTTCAAATATGCAGTACAATATTGTTAGCTATGGTCAACATACTGTACATCAGCTCTACAGAGTTTATTCATCTTGCATAATGAAACTTTGTACCCTTTGACCAACACTGCTCCATCGCCCTACCCCTCTCACCTCACAGCCAACTAATTCTCAACAAGAATGACAAAGCAATTAACTGGGTAAAGAATAGTCTTTTTCAACAAATGATGCTGTGATGGCTGGATATCCATATTCAAAAGAATGGTCTACCTCATCATTCCATATACAAAAATTAAAGCAACATGGATCAAAGATCTAAAGGTAACAATAAAATTCTTAGAAGAATATATAGTTTTAAATCCTCACAATCAGCCAGTGGTTTCTTAGATATGACACTGAAAGCACAACAAAAGAAAAAACAAACAGGACATCATCAAAATTAAAACTTCTGTACTTCAGGGATCCCTGGGTGGCGCAGCGGTTTGGCGCCTGCCTTTGGCCCAGGGCGCGATCCTGGAGACCCGGGATCGAATCCCACATCGGGCTCCCGGTGCATGGAGCCTGCTTCTCCCTCTGCCTGTGTCTCTGCCTCTCTCTCTCTCTCTGTGACTATCGTAAATAAATAAATAAAAAACCTTTAAGTCCGACTCTTGATTTCAAGACCCTGAGTTCAAGCCTTGCATTGAACTAGTTTTTTTTTTTTTTTAAGTGAAAAGACAATACATGGAATGGGAGAAAGTTCCTGCAAATCATCCACCTGATAAGGAAGTTGTACAGAGTATACAAGTAACTATTAAAACTCAGTAACAGAGGATCGCTGGGTGGCTCAGCGGTTTAGTGCCACCCTCAGCCCAGGCCGTGATCCTGGAGACCCGAGATCGAGTCCCACATCGGGCTCCCTGCATGGAGCCTGCTTCTCCCTCTACCTGTCTCTCTCTCTCTGATGAATAAATAAATAAAATATTTAAAAAAATAAAATAAAGTAAAATAAAACTCAGTAACAAAAAGACATATTACCTAATTTTAAAAAATGAGCAAAGGGGACGTCTGGGTGGCTCAGTGGTTGAGCGTCTGCTTTGGGCTCAGGGCATGATCCCGGAGTTCCAGGATGAAGTCCTGGGATTAGTCCCCCATCAGGCTCCCTGCAGGGAGCCTGCTTCACCCTCTGACCATGTCTCTGGCTCTCATGAATAAATAAATAAAATCTTAAAAAAACAAAACCAAAACCAAAAAACCATGAGATAGTACTTCACAGCAAGTATGATGGCTATAAACAGAAAGATAATAGGTTCTGACTAGGTAAGAAATTACAAGGTGAAACATTTATAGCTTTTTTTATGGATTAAGAACAATCTATAGTAACAATCTGCTTTCTGATAACCAGAAAAGAATATTTGTATGCTGCTGGCAAGAACAGTCCATTGACTTTAGTCTTTATTGAGGCACTCTTCCATCTTATACCTTGTCAGTTTTACAGATCTATGAATGGCTTTCATGAACAATTAAGCTATGATTAAGAGAATTATTTAGAACATAAAGATTCATGTTATTTTTAATGTATCCCATTGGCAAGAGTCATAGAACATCATTTGCCTTTACTTCTTCATGCACATATACACAAACTTCTAAATGAAAACCCATTAAAATGTGAATTAAATACATACCAAAATCTACTCTTGTTAATATGCACTGCATTGGGTGGTCAGTTGTATGCCTTGTTGTTGTTGCACCACTTTCATAACAAGATGCACAAAGATCGTAATCGTAGCAAATTAAACACTTATATCTGCGACCTCGAAAATTTCCTTTTAAACATGCATCACAGCTGACACCTATTAAAAAAAAGAAATATCATTAATTAGCAGCTGTAATAGGCCACATTCCATTTTATTTTTATAAATATTTAATGTATATATTTAACCCCACATTTCCTTTCCAAAATGACTAGAAACAACATAGTAAAATGATATAGGAATTTCCAAAAATATAGTGTATTTGTTACTCTGATTTACATTTCTAATGAAACTAACTTAAAATATTTGATGAGGGGGATCCCTGAGTGGCTCAGCGATTTGACGCCTGCCTTTGGCCCAGAGCGCAATCCTGGAGTCCCAGGATCGAGTCCCGCATTGGGCTCCCGGCATGAAGCCTGCTTCTCCCTCTGCCTGGGTCTCTGCCTCTCTCTCTCTGTGTGTGTGTACCTATCATAAATAAATAAATAAATAAATAAATAAATAAATAAATAAATAAGTAAGTAAGTAAATAAATAAATAAATAAATAAATCTTTAAGATTCAAACAGGGATTTAAAAATAAATAAAAAATAAAATATTTGATGAAATGTAAAAATAACTTTTAAAATGCCTTGAGGAGCTAATAAGAGTAAAAACCAAATGAAAGAGGAACTGGTAACTAGAATCACTAAAGGGGGCAGGGATTTATTTGCCAAAGCATGTAAAAATTTGAGCTTAGAGTTTCACAGTGTTACAGGACAAAGCCCCAAAAGCAAAGATCAAGGTCTGCCAAAGGTGGAATGTCTAAAAGCAATCTCTCACAAAGCTGAGACCCTAATATACTCTCAATGTATGTGTGAGCTAGAAATCCCCTCTGAGGGGTTACAAAAGTTGCTCTAGTGAGCTTCCCTCTCCCCATTGGCACAAAACAACAAAACCTGTAAAATCATAACCAAAACCCATCACAGCCCTGTAATCAGTAGAGAGTTGAAACTCAGACTACCAAACAGTTCCAAATGGTTCTCAGGTCAAGAATTTGGTTTAAAGTGGTCCAGAGGCGCCTGGCTGGCTCTGTCAGTGGAGCATGCAACTCTTGATCTTGGGGTTTTAAGTAAAAACACCGCACTGGGTGTAGAGATTACATTAAAATAAAATCTTAAAATAAAATAAAGTGGTCCTAAATTAGTACAACCCCCAAGCCTATGGCAGAAACAAACTTCCATAGAATGAATCCATACACAAAACATATACAAAGCACACACAAACACACACACACACACACACACACACACACCCCAAAAGCAAAGCACCACAAGAAAGAAGTAGCAGAAACAGCAGAATCGGACTGGCAAACAATTAAAAAATCAATCACTCTATCCATCTATCTATCTATTTATTTATTTATTTATGAGAGACAGAGAGAGAGAGAGAGAGAGAGAGAGAGAGAGAGAGAGAGAGAGAGAGGCAGAAACACAGGCAGAGGGAGAAACAGGCTCCATGCAGAGACCCGGGCGTGGGACTCGATCCCAGGTTTCCAGGATCAGGCCCTGGGCTGAAGGCGGTGCTAAACCGCTGAGCCACCTGGGCTGCCCTGACAAACAGTTTATATCAGAACTGAATATCAGATAATACTTCATATTTTAAAATAAATAAAAGAGAAGCTTGAAAAGAAGAGGTAACCAACAAATTTGAAAATGAACCAAACAACATCTAGATATTTTTAAAAATTAACAGGATGCCTGGGTGACTCAGCGGTTGAGCAAATGCCTTCGGCCCAGGGCATAATCCCGGAGTCCCGGGATCCCTGCATGGAGCCTGCTTCTCTCTCTGCCTATGTCTCTCATGAATAAATAAATAAAATCTTTTTAAAAATTAATAAAATTTAAAACTCGATGGACATGCTTAATAGTAGGAAAAGCCTTTTATTGACAAGTAATGTTTGTTATGTAGAAAACCCAAATACAACTAAATTATTAGAATTCAGTATTTTAAGCAAAGTTGCTAAAAACCAATTTAATAAAGTATCAACTGTATTTCATAACTCCAAAAAAGATAGAAAAATTTATTATTAAAAAACATGCCAGTTAAGATTCTACTTACATGAGGTATTTAGATTAGTCAAATTCATAGAAAAAGTAGAAGAGTGGTTACCAGGGACGGGGTAGGAGGGAGAATGGAGAGCATTGCTTAGTGGGTACAGAGCCAGTTTGGGATGATGGAAAAACTATGGAGACGGTTGTGCATGCAATGTGAATGTACTTAAAGCCACTGAACTGTATGTGCAAAAATGGTAAAAATGATAGATTTTATGTATATTTTACCACGATGAAAAACTGCTAAATGCAAAAGTTTTTTGTTTTTTTTTTTGCAAAAGCATTTTAAAAATGACTATGAATAGGAACGCCTGGGTGGCTCCAGTGGTTGAGTGCCTGCCTTCGGCCCAGGGCGTGATCATGGGGAACCTGGGATCGAGTCCCACATCGGGCTCCCTGCATGGAGCCTGCTTCTCTCTCTGCCTATGTCTATGCCTCTCTCTCTCTGTGACTCTCATGAATAAATAAATAAAATCTTAAAAAAAAATGCCTACGAATAAATCTAACCAAAAATAGGTAGCCCTTTATGAAGCAAATTAGTAAACATCTATTTAGCGGTACCTGGCTGGCTTAGTAGGTAGAGCATGTGACTCTTAATCTCGGTTTGTGGGCTCAAGTCCCACGATAGACATGATTACTTAAAAAAAAAAATCTTTAAAAATATATAAATATATATTCAAAGACATTTAAAGGACTTTAAAAACTAAAAATACCAGGATGAGAAGCTTCAATGAAATGAAATGTCAATTCTCTCCAAATCAATTGATAGAATCAATGCAATTCTAATCAACATCACAAAAGAAATTTTTGTGGAACATGACAATCTGACTCAAATTTTTATGCAAGTTGCAAAGGGCCAAGAATAACCAAGATATTCCAAGAAAAAGAAGATGGGGTGGATTGGCTTAACATATCAAGAATTATTATAAAGATACATTTAGGGGTGCCTGGGCAGCTCAGTTGGTTAAGTGTCAGACTCTTGGTTTCGGCTCAGGGTCATGGGATCAAGCCACTGCTCGGCAGCCCACTAAGTGGAGAGTCTGCTGGTCCCTCCCCCTCTTTCATGCATGCTTGCTCACTCGCTCTCTCACAAATAAAATCTTTTTAAAAAATTTGTTTTAAAAACCAAAGCTACAGTAATTAAGACAGGATACTACTGGCATAGAGCCAGACCAACTGACCAATGAAATAGAATAGAAAGCCTAAAACAGGTACATATATGTTGAAATCTGTTTTATGACAACAAAGTCCCTAGAGCTCAGTGGGGAGAGAAGGGAGGAGGGAATGAATGATGCTAGGACAGGTGATTATCCATATGTGGGGAAAATAAAAACAGAGCTCTTCCACAGATCCCACACATAAAAATCAATTCCAGATGGTTTAAAGACAAATACTGAAGGAAAATGAAAAAAAAAAATCCCTGGAAGCCAATATAAGGGAATATTTTTATGAGCTCAGAGTAGGAAACAATTTCTTAACACACACATGGTCCAAACCATGTATTCAACCACAATAAAATTAAGACTTTTTCTTTACCTTTTAATGCCCTCCAGTGATGGAAAGACAAGAAGGTCCTGAAACTGTGATATGTGCAACATACCTGGTAGACAACAGTCTGGTGTTCAGAGTATGTTAAACACTGACACATAGTAAGAAAATGACAGACCTCTAACAGAAAAAATGGGGAAAGACTTCCGAGGGCATTACAAAGAACTATAAAGACGAATGACCAGTAAATATATGAAAATGTGCTCAATCTCCTCAGTCATCAAAGAGGTAAAAATCCAACTCTCACGAGCTATCATCTTACATCTAGCAATCTGGCAAAGACCTAGAAATATGATGACTCCAAGTGCTAGTGAGGCTATGCTAGTGAAGACACAACAGAAACAGTTCTACTCTGCCAGCATACATCAGTCCGACAACTTGGAAAAACTCCAGTTCATATTCTAGTCAAGTTCAAGCTATGCCATTCCCAGGACTTGGCGGTTTCACTCTCAAGTAGATTCCCTGGGGAATCTTCTCTCTATGTGTATCAGAAGAATGGAGCAGAATGTTCACAGTGGATTTTGCACTGGGGGTTGGGGAGGTGGGCGTTAACAACTCAAAGGTTCAATAACAGTCTATTATAGAGTGAATTAGAAAATGTATCATAGCCACAGGTGAGGACTTCAGGAATCTCACAAGACTGAAAGAAAGTCCTAAAGGATATATATAGTTGAAAGTTCAAAAATGCTATCTAGATTAGGAAATCCAACATGCAATGAAACTATAAAATAAAAACAGGGAATGCTAAAATTTTAGTCAGTGGTTCCCTCTGGGGGGTGTGGAGCCCTCGCTGATCTTGAAAGGTAATAATACTCTTTCGGATCTGGCAGAGGGGGTTCTGCAGTACCATTCTTCTTTTCCTTTAAATAATCTCTACACTCAATGTGGGGCTCAAACTCACAACCCTGAGATTAAGAGTCCTACATTCTAAAAAAAAGGGGGGGGGTATGTCATACATTCTGGGACGCCTGGGTGGCTCAGCGGTTGGGTGCCTGCCTTTTGGCCCAGGGCGTGACCCCAGAGTCCCAGGATGGAGTCCTGCATCGGGCTCCCTGCATGGAGCCTACTTCTCCCTCTGCCTGTGTCTCTGCCTCTCTCTGGGTGTGTCTCTCGTGAATAAATAAATAAAATTTTTTAAAAATTCTAAAATAAAAAAAAAGATTTTATTTATTTATTCACGAGAGACACAGAGAGAGGCAGAGGCACAGGCAGAGGGAGAAGCAGGCCCCATACAAGGAGCCTGATGTGGGACTCAATCCCAGGACTCCAGGACCCTGCCCTGAGCCAAATGCAGGCGCTTATTAACCACTGAGCCACCCAGGCGTCCCAATATATAAAATCTTTTAAAAAAAGAGAGAGTCATACATTCCTCTGACAGAGCCAGTCAGGTGCCCCAAAAGGTCTTTGTTTCATTCAGGTGGAGTAAGATTCTGTTATTACATTTTCTTGTATTCAATTC